GATACACAGGTCCTATTGATAGGGTATTAATCTCAGTGGTGGTCAGAAACAACGTGTTAGTCTAGCTAGAGCAGTCTACCAAGAGTCTGATGTGTATTTACTTGACGATCCTTTATCTGCTGTTGATTCACATGTTGGTAAACACATATTTGATAAAGTAATAGGACCAGAAGGAGTGCTGAAAGGAAAAGTAAGAGTAACTATATTGTACATGTAGCTAGTGTGAGTGTCCCTCCCAGGTACGTATACTAGTGACACATGGTATAGGATTCTTGTCACAGTGTGATAAGATAATAGTGATGAGTAATGGACGTATAACTGAGGTAGGATCATATAATGAACTGATTGAACAGAATGGAACATTTGCTGAACTATTACACAACTATGGAACTACTAAAGTGAATGAAGATGGTGATGAAGAGAAGAGATACAGCTCCAGTAGTTAACAAATTTAAAATAAAAAATATTAAATATTTATAGGTACTGACTTTCAAGGCGATGAGAAGACTGTTGCTATTGAAGCAAAGGAAGGTTAGCTAGATTGCAACTACTATTTCTATTTTACCTTTTTTATAAATATATTCCAGATGAAGAACACAAAAAGAAATCCTCATTTCTAACTGGAGAAGAGAAAGTGAAGAGTGGCAATGTAAGCTTATAGTAAGTATAGGTAGTCTTAGTTTTGTATTTTATTTAATAGATCAGGCTTTCTGTCCTGAATTCTTACATCAAGTCTTGTACATATTACATTTCACTGCTAATAACATTCTTTTACATGTTGTCGAGTGGAGCAGCTGTCAGTCAGAATGTATGGCTTGCTCATTGGAGCAACACCCAAGATAATAATAATAATGATAATGATAGTTTTAATAATGATGATCTGTAAGGAGGAATGATGGACTATATTGAATTAATATTAATTTTTAGTGCTCTTAATCTTGGTGTCTATGGGTTGTTTGGTGTACTTCAAGCTGCAGCGGTGTTAGGGTTTTCGTTCTCACTGGCCATTGGTTCCCTTAAAGCATCAGTTAAACTCCATGATGGAATGTTGAGTAATATCCTTAGATCACCAATGTCATTCTTTGATACTACACCTCTTGGTAGAATACTCAACAGGTTCTCAAAGGTAAAAAAGAGAGCCTCTACAGTATATGATGGTTTCATTTTGTATAACTATAAAGATTAGATAATTTATTATTATTGTTATTATTATTATTTATTATTATTATTATTATTATTATTATTATTATTATTATTATTATTATTATTATTATTATTATTATTGTGGTGAGCATCAGCAAAGCCTCTATAAATGATGTCTCATTGAATCCTGGAAATACGTATTTTAAGTACTGTGTAATTAATTAATAATACAAGTGGTTAAAATTCTTCCTTTTTATGGTTTCGCGACCTTGCACACATACTTCCTCCTTCACTTCTAGTAAATTTTTTTGGAATGTCCTTATGCCCATGGTTTTTTCCAAAAAATGGCTCCGAAATCACCCCCAATTTTTATTACATTTCCTGATACACATTGATGTCCTTATGCTATGCAGAAAGTTTGAGCCAATTCCGACAAATATTTTTTGAGTTA